CCTTTCATGCAGGAGAAGTGAACAGGATTAAGCTTAACTTTAACTCTAGTGGGTTTGAAAACATTTGCCGAGAATAGACACCTAGGAGTGACTGCAGTGAGGTGCCACCAAGGTAAGGACTCTAGGACTGAATAAGAGAGGCTGATCATGCAAAGAGAAACAGGTTGTTTTTTGAGTATCTTACCATTTCCAGAGAATTTTCTAGCTATCTGCCCACTGATCAGGATCTCCCTTTCCAGTAACTCCTCCTCCTCCCCTTCCTCCTCCTCCTGTTATTCTTCTTCCTCCTCCTCCTCCTCCTTTTCCCTTCCCCCACCTGATCCTCCTTCCTCCTCCTTCTTCTCCTCCCTCTCCTCCTCCTATTCTTCCTCTTCCTCCTCCTTCTTCTCCTCCTCCTCCTCCTGCTGTTCCTCCACCTCCTTCATCTCTTCCTTCTCCTTCTCCTCCTTTTTTCTTTCTTCTTAAATCAGGGATAAAGAGCATACACAAGGCAAGTGCTCAATTATGCAGCTACATTCACACATGCCCACCTTGCAGATTCATGGCTATTTATGAAATACAACTAAAGAAACCAAAGACACCAATACAGTGACAAATATGGGTCCATTGTCGAGCACACTCTCTTACTGAGAAATCTGCAGATTGATGCTGGTTATAGACAGATCCTATTGTCTTCAGTTCAGACCTATCATAAATTCCTATTTCCCCCCTCATTCTTTTGAACAACTTTTTCTACCACTCAACTTCCAACCCAAGAAGATGGAATTCAATTCCTGTCAGTGGGTCTCCTCACTAATCATTAGGATTTATTCTCATTTCCTCTGTTTCTTATATCCATGTCCAATTCACAAAAAAATCCTACTTTTCCATGTTATAAATAAAGTTGGACTCCACCATACTGTCACTTCCTCTACAGGCATGATCATCCAAGGTCATGTTAGTCTATGACCTGTCGTGAGTTCTCTGGCTTTCCTTCTCCATTCTGCTCCTTATCCTTCCAGAACTTGACATCCGGGTATCTCGCTGATCCTAGATTATGCTAAAAGCTTCATATATTGACTTGCCCATGTTATTTCTTTCAGATCTTGAATACAAAATTATTTTTTTCATCTTTCTTTCCTTATCCCAGAATGTGAGCACTCCAAGTGCAAGGATCTTTTGTCTATTTTTGCTCAGGGATTTACCCTAATGATACACTCAGAAACACTCAGAAAAAAACCAGGATAAATAATTCTGTCACTTGGCACGCTTGCTCTTTCACTGACTTAATGTTGTATTTGAAAACAAATAAAAGGAGATACATGGAAATCCACAGACCAAGAAAGAAACCAAATTTCAAAACATAGAGCATTATAGTATGACAGAGCAAAACTCTTGTAGAAACTGTTCCTCAAACTATCAAGTCACTGCTGCTTTGAGTATTAGTTCCTGATGTTTCATAGAAATGAGACCTCTGATGGGTGTCTTTTCTATTTATTGTTATATTTTATCCTTTTTTGTGCTTATTTATCTCTTTGGTTATTTCTCAAAAGTCATTCTCGAATCAGACTGAAATTTGACAGAAAAAGAAGGAAGAAAGAAGCAGGATTGTGTGTTTAAGGAGTCTTTGGATGTTTTGGAAATAGCATGGTGGAGACTGATCAGGTGTATAGTTGCAGTGGATGAGAAGAAACACATCAGATTAAAGATGTCTAAGAATGTGTACAGTGTCATCTGTCAACTCATATAAGGATAAGCTTCAGACATTGGTGTGCTCAGATGTAAGATACAGGCTAAGGGCAAAACCAACAATAACTTGAATAAATGAGTACACACTCTCTCATCATATATATTCACATATGAAAATATTGTGTCATATATGTGAAATACTATACATCACAGATTACTATTTTCAAGTGGGAATGTTTTAAGTGAATAAAGAGATCTGCTTTCAACGTACTGCTAATATACAAAAGTTATTGTATATTCACTCTTAGGACAAGGCAGTGGATTCCATAATGAATTTGGAACATCTGTAGAGGTATACCAGTGGTGACTGGTTTCCCATGAATTATCATCCTGAAGGGTAAGGACATTATAGCCTTTTTTCTGTTCTATAAGCTACAGGACATTTGGCAACATGGCTAATAGAAATGACTCATTTTGGCAAAACATCTTTTATATTATCATGTCTGACAAAAATTGAGTTTTTCATTCCCTACTCTATGTTCCCTATGTGTACTTATTACAAGTAAAGCCATATTTAATTCACTTCATTTAACCAAACCTCATTCATTCTTGGGGCCAATTCAATGCTTACACTCTTCATAAGAGTCAAAGATCAAAGTCATAACATCTTACCTATTCTTCTTTGGGAGCAAATAATTAAAACAGAATAGTGAGAAAGTGTGCTGCTTAAATTAAAAAGCAACATTCTCATAAAATGCATTCTGCTTACAAATCCTGAATGAACTAGTTTGGTCCTTATTGACGGAAATTATTGAACCTTCAAAACCACTAGTGACACAGAAAATGGGCAAGATACTGCAATATCTCAATATGCCATGTAACTGTCACAAAAAGAAAAATCTTCCTGTATGAAAAACAATTACCAAAATTGAAAGAAAAAATATCTCATATCAAAGCATAGAACCTCCAACATTCATCTCTCGGTTTTCTGATTATTTTTCCCACTTGCTTTAGGCAGAAATAATAGCTATTACATTACTGATGGTTCAAAAATTAGGAGTATATTTCTATTAAAATTGTTCACTGTTCTGTTTAAACATAAGTTGTTTAGGCTATCAAGAAAAATATTTGAGTATATATAATAGAAATCATTAATACACTATGTCATCTAGTCATTATAACATATTAAGACCCTTAAAATTTACATTCTATAGCCATCAAATACTATAATTTACCATTTACATAGATATTATTTTATAAAAAATTATATGGAAACAAACTGAAATCATTATGTATAATTTCATCTGTTTTAAGAATCTTTACATATATTTTAATGTCTCTCCCCAGGATACACTCTTAAATGAAATAAAATTATTAGAAATTTAAGTTTTATACTATGTTGGAAACAGAACATAGAAGTTATTTTTTATTTCAAAATTTTAAAAGACTTTAGATAACTTTCACCTTAACAAAATTATGGAAATTTAATTTAACAATAAGATAGCCTTCCCATAAAATATAAAAATACAAAATCATCTGAATTTACCAGATTAAATTCAATTTATGTTTAGATTGCAGTATGTTTATGGGGAAAAATAATCTCAAAACAAATTTTTTATGCCTGAATGAAAGTCACATTTTATAAATAGATCAAATTAGTGTATATAAAAGGTCAGTGTATTTTTTATTAGTTGTACTTTCCATTGTATGAGAAACCTACTAGGTTTTTAAGGGAAGAAAAGGCCCTCTTGGTTTGTAAAAATATATTAAAGAAAAGATTTTGAAAAATTTCAATGCATGGATTTTGTACAGAACTGCAGTTATACTAAATGCTATATTGAAGAAAACCTCTATAGAGTTCCCAAGCAATTTTAATTCCTCCTTTCTCTCAGCACAGTGGTTTAGTAGACTGAGTTGGGAAAGAGTCAAAGAAGAGCGATTTCTGTCTGTGGTCATAGAATGCAAAACTATAAAGTACACTGAGCTTCCGTTTTATTCCACTACTGCTCGCAAAGTCACCTGTAGAAGGCTCAGAGAACCAGACACCTTCCACCTCATCGTGAACACACAAATCATGAATACACAAATACACGTGTGTAGGATAACACTGTTTTGTCCTTCCTCAGGTAGCTTAGGTTTATCAGGTCACACCCATCTAAGGACACTGAACTTGTAAGCAATGTCCTTTCTGTGTGGACACAGGAAGACAGTTAATATTATGTTTTGTAACTTGGGAGTTAATTGACTCCAAATAATATTTACTCTTGGGCATCTGCTTTCTTGACTCAGTTGCCCTTAGTTCCTACCACCCCAAAAGCAGGGTCCTGACAATGGACTGAATGGACCCAGGGCAAGCGGTGAGCTACCCTGGCATAGAAATGGGCCATGCCAAAGCGCCATGATACTCAACTATAAGTTGAGGGCATGATCATGGACAAATACTGTCATGATCCAAAGTAAGTAATGACGAGACTAGGACCATGTTAGGGCTAGGAAGACTAACCTGGCCTGAGGACTGCGGAATGTATGATGAGATGTTTATATCTCTTACTGTACTCACACAGAATGACATTGCTAGGAATATTAGAAGTAGATTTACTACAACTATTTAAGTAGATTACTAGCTGAGGAAAGAACACACCCTTGTTAGGATCCCATCCTTGAGCAGATCTCCTAGTAATCTGCAGTAATCTCTTTAGATGAGATTTTATCCTTGGGTTAATCTCCTGGAGGAGTGGTTTTACCTTTCATTGTTGATTTTTCAATATTCAACCCACCTTTAAGTCACCGCCTTATGTGATTGCTATATAAACTAAGACTGTAAGCTCAGGGAGAGGAGAGTCAGAAGTGAGAGAGCTCGGTCTCCAGAGATCCAGAGTCAGAGCCAGAAGGAGAGAGGTTCCAGATTGGGGCCCAGGAGAGAAGGAGGCAGAGAAAGACAGGAGTGAAGAGGACTGGAATAAACTACTATTGATATAGGCCGGCCTGGCCCTCGTTTCTTCTTCTGTCTGCCCTTGGCTAACAGCCATCCAGATCCAGGCCACACACAGCAGCTCAAGAGCACCGAATGTGGGCGGTGAGACAGTGCCATTTAGTGAGCCCGCAAACACACAACCTTCGATGTGATAAGATTTTACACACGTGAATACACGTGAATACAAATACACGTGAGAACACATAGTGAATACACAATGTGTACACATGGTTCCTCCAGTCTTATCCCTTAGAACGTATGCATATGTGTGTGTGTGTGTGTGTGTGACCCACCCCACAACTAAAACGTGCATTCAGGAACCCTGGACAATTTCAGGTGGGATAGAAAGACCATTTACCTGTCGATGATGGCACACATGTCAATGCTGACGTTGGCAAAGCTTCCCGGCCTCCTTTGCGCCACTTCATACAAGTTTACAAGTTGATCATCCACTTGAATGAGCTGCATGCACCCTTGAAATGAAGGCTGAAGGACAGAGTGACTTGAGTTATTCATCTGGTTTGGGACACCTGTGAGAGAAAAGAAAAGGGGAAATCAGATTCTGAGTATAGCATGGCACTGCCTCCGCCAGAGCTTTATTCTAATAGATTGCTGGGAATCATCAAGTCTTGCTGAGTCTCATTCAGTGTAGACAGTTGGTTGACTTTGTCTCAGAGAAAGGGATTGTTTCAGTGGGAGAAGCAGGCTACAGCTTGTGGATGCTTGTCTCTGGGGTCCACTAACCCCAAAATGCCTTGGACCATTCTATCATAAAATCTCCTAGCCCATTCTATCACATTTCTCTGTCCACTCTTAGTTGAATCATCATTATCTTACTTCCTCGCCTGAATTTGCACCTGGACATAAGGATATAACACATTCAACCTTACACAACTATAGATAAGTGCCTTCATTTTGTATTTTCAATGATTACTTTCATTTCCTTCTGTTAAATTAATTTTTATTGTTGTTAAATTTGGGACCCACTCAGTAATGTTAGGGGTTTCTCCTGGATCTGCACTCAGGAATTATTCCTTCTGTGCTTGAAGGACCATATGGGGTGCTGAGGACCAAATCCCAGATCAGCTTCATGCAAGGCAACCACCCTATCCACTGTACTCTCTGGCCCGGCTTTAATTTTCTTTTATTATTTCTTTAAAAAAATTAATCAAACAACTTTGACTTACGGAGTTATTTATAGTTGAGTTCTAGGCATAAAGTGTTTCAACACCAATCCCACCACCAGGGTCAACTTCCCTCCACCAGTGTTCCCAAGTCCTATCCCCTCCCCCACCCCTGACTTTCATTTTCTTAATTCCACACAGGTCTGCTATTCATTTTTCCAGAATATAAAATTAATATTACCAAATTAAGTCAATTTATTTCATGGGTTAATGTATAAAGTAATCAAAATAGATAATTGAATTATAAGTGATTTATTGCTGTTTTTTTTTTATTTGATTAAATTTTTTTTTATTTATTTTTTTTTTATTTATTTTTTTTTCTTTTTTATTAGTGAAACGACATGAGGTACAGTTGTAGATTTACAAATTTTTGTGCTTGGATCTCGGTCATACCCCGATCAAATACCCATCCCTCCACCAGTGCCCATTTTCCACCACCAGGATAATATCCCTCCCCCCCCATCCTCCCATCCCCCCATCCCCCCCTGCCACTGTGGCAGGGCATTCCCCCCTGTTCTCTCTCTCCTCCTGGGCGCTGTGATCAGCCAAAGAGGCATTGAGTGGCGAACATGTTCAGCCCAGTCTACTTTCAACCTGCATCTCCCCTCCTGGGAGGATCCTCCAAACACCCTCCACTTGGTGTTCCCCTTTCTATCTGAATTGTCCTTTCCCCTAGAATACCCAGCTGGCCTCTAAGTTATGGAGTAATTCTCCTGGTGTTGCTCTCAGCTATTCTTGGGTATTAATCTCATATTTTATTATTTTATATCCCCCAGATGAATGCTATCTTTCTATGTCTATCCCTCTCTTTCTGACTCATTTCGCTTAGCATGATACTTTCCATATTGTACCACTTGTATGTAAAGTTCATGACTTCATTTTTTCTAAGAGCCACATAGTACTCCATTGTGTAGATGTACCAAAGTTTCTTTAACCAGTCATCTGTTCTTGGGCACTCAGGTCTCTTCCAGTTTCTGGCTACTGTAAAGAGTGCTGCAATGAACAAACAAGTGCAGATGTCACTTCGGCTACACGTTTTTGCCTCTCTGGGATATATTCCCAGGAGTGGTATTGCTGGGTCAAATGGGAGCTCAATTTCTAATTTTTTGAGGAACGTCCATACTGTTTTCCAGAAGGGCTGAACCAGTGGACATTCCCACCAACAGTGAAGGAGTGTCCCTTTCTCGCCACATCCGCGCCAGCAACGGTTGCTTTTGTTCTTTTGAATGTGGGCCAGTCTCTGAGGTGTGAGATGGTATCTCATTGTGGTTTTGATCTGCATCTCCCTGATGATTAATGATGTAGAGCATTTTCTCATGTGCTTTTTTGCCATTCGGATTTCTTCTTTGAGAAAGTTTCTGTTCATTTCATTGCCCCATTTTTTGATGGGGTTGGATGTTTTCTTCTTGTGGAGTTCAACCAGTATTTTGTATATCCTTGATATCAATCCCTTGTCAGATGTGTATTCGGCGAATATTCTTTCCCATTCTGTAGGCCATCTTTGTATTTTGGTCACTGTTTCTTTGGAGGTACAGAAGCTTCTTAGTTTAAGATAGTCCCATTTATCTATCTCTGTTTTCACTTGCTCAGCCAGTGGCGTGTCATCTTTGAACATACCATTAGCCTCAATGTCATGGAGGGTTTTGCCAACTTTGTCTTCAATGTATCTTATGGTTTCTGGTCTGATGTTGAGGTCTTTAATCCATTTTGATCTTACCTTTGTACATGGTGTTAGGCAGAGTTCTGAGCCCATTTTTTTGCATGTAGCCGTCCAGTGATGCCAGCACAATTTGTTAAAGAGGCTTTCCTTACTCCACTTCACATTTCTTGCACCTTTATCAAAGATTAGATGATCATATGATTGGGGGGTGATGTCAGTGTATTCAACTCTGTTCCATTGGTCTGTAGTTCTGCCTTTGTTCCAGTACCATGCTGTTTTGATTATTACCGCTTTGTAGTAAAGTTTGAAGTTCGAGAGGTTGATTCCACCCATTTTCTTTTTCCCCAGAATTGCTTTAGCTATTCGTGGGGGTTTATTGTTCCATATAAATTTCAGGAGTGTTTTCTCCATTTCTTTGAAGAACGTCATGGGTATCCTTATAGGGATTGCATTGAATTTGTACAGTGCTTTCGGTAGTATTGCCATTTTGACAATGTTCAGTCTTCCGACCCATGAGCAGGGGATGTCTTTCCATTTCCTCATGTCCTCTTTTATTTCCTGAAGTAGCGTTTTGTAGTTTTCTTTGTACAGGTCCTTTACTTCCTTAGTTAGGCTGATTCCTAGGTACTTGATTTTCTGGGGCACAATTGTGAACGGGATTGATTTTTTCATATAGCTTTCCTCTCTCTCACTGTTTGCATATAGGAAAGCCATGGACTTTTGGGTATTGATTTTATAACCTGCAACTTTACTATACAAGTCTATTGTTTCTAGGAGTTTTTTGGTGGAGGTTATTGGGTTCTCTAAGTATAGTATCATATCATCTGCGAATAGTGAGAGCTTTATTTCTTCCTTTCCTACCTGAATGCCCTTAATGTCTTTTTCTTGCCTAATTGCTATTGCAAGTACTTCCAGTACTATATTGAACAGCAGTGGAGAGAGTGGGCATCCCTGTCTTGTCCCTGATCTTAGAGGGAAGGCTCTCAGTTTTTCCCCATTGAGGATGATGCTTGCTGTAGGCTTGTGGTAGATGGCTTTAACTATGTTGAGGAAAGTCCCCTCTATGCCCATTTTGGCTAGGGTTTTCATCATAAAGGGGTGCTGGATCTTGTCAAATGCTTTCTCTGCATCTATTGATATGATCATATGCTTTTTATCTTTTCTTTTGTTGATATGATGGATTATGTTGATTGATTTCCGAATGTTGAACCATCCTTGCATCCCTGGGATGAATCCTACTTGGTCATGGTGTATGATCTTTTTGATGAGTAGTTGGATTCTATTTGCTAGTAGTTTGTTGAGGATCTTTGCATCTGTGTTCATCAGGGATATCGGCCTGTAGTTCTCTTTCTTTGTGTTATCTCTGTCTGCTTTTGGTATCAGTGTGATATTTGCTTCATAGAAGCTGTTCGGAAGTGTGTTTGATATTTCAATTTCATGGAAAAGCTTAAAGAGGATTGGGAGTAAGTCTTCTTTAAAGATTTGGAAGAATTCACTGGTGAATCCATCCGGGCCAGGGCTTTTGTGCTTGGGGAGACTTTTTATTACCATTTCAATTTCCTTGATGGTGATAGGTCTGTTCAGGTATTCCAGGTCTTCTTGGTTCAGCCTTGGGAGTCTGTAGGAGTCTAGGAATTTATCCATTTCCTCGAGGTTTTGATGTTCTGTGGCATAAAGCTTTTCAAAGTACTCCCTGAGGATCCTTTGAATTTCTGTGGTTTCTGTTGTAATGACCCCCTTTTCATTTCTGATTCGGTTTATTAGGGTTTTCTCTCTCCCTTTCTTTGTGAGTTGCTGTTTTTTAATTTTTTTTTTATAAAATCCAAGGAAGCATACAAAAAATAAATTTAGACAGAAGGGTCAGCAATGCTGCCTTGACTATGAACGAAACAAATAACTACTGGGTCTCAGTGAACTGAAAATACATCAATCTTAAGATATGCATATAATTTTTATAGAAATTTTAAAATGGGGGTGCATAAAAGAAAATGGTTTCTGCATGGTAAAAGAAACTATCATTGAAACAAAATAATCCTTCTGAATGGGAGAAAATATTTATACATCATGCCTCTTACAAGAGAGTGTTGTGTGCAGAATATCTGAATAACTTGTAGCACTCAGCAATAAAAAGATGATCCCATAAATAAGGGGAGAGCTAAGCAGATGTTTCTCCAGAGCTAGCCAAAAGGCACATGAACATTCTCATAATCACTTATTATCAAAAAAATGCAAAAGAAAATGCAATAATATATCACCTAATACCTGTGAGAATGTCTTATACCAAAGAACAAATGTTGATGCATAAGAAAGGAACCCTCATATATTATTGGTGGATATGTAAATTACTCAGTCTTTATGGTAAGCAACGTGGATATTTATCACAATATTAAAATTAGATTTACCATATGACAAAAATTATACTATGAAAAAAATGAAAAGGCTCATTTGAAAAGATATAGTTGCCTTTATATTCACTGCAGTGCTATTTACAGTAGCCAAGATATGGAAACAAACTCAGTGGCCAAAGAGAGAAGCATGGAAATATGTCTCATAGATACACAGTATAAAACTATTAAACTATATAAAAGGTGAAATCGTGCCATCTGCAGCTGGAACTACAGAGGGCAATGTTAAGCAATGTAAGTCAGTTAGGAGAAACAGAGCAGTGATTTTTCTCACATATGAA